TGAGACCTGTGGGTAACATGGGGACGCCCACTCTGGTGCCCAGGACACCGAGGGACATGGCACCTGAGAGGAAGCTGGTGAGCAGGAGACACTCGACCCTCCACACAGTCCGCCCCTGGTTTTCCCAGGACTGGAGCCTCCCACGAGCATTTTCATCCTCCTTCCTGCTCCGGTCCCTCCACGGCACGACCGCAGTGACACTGGTTTTCTTCACAGAGGACTTGCGTGTGGTCTACTCTGAGCCCACCTCTGAGCAGAGCCTTAGGAGTTGAAGCTGGTGGGGAGTGGAGCCAGACCAGAGCTGAGCAGGCCCAGGGGGGCCGCAGGCAGGTGACATGGGGCTGGGATGAGGACCTAGGAGACAGTGGGCCAAGAAGGGGACGGACAGTGGGAGGGAGAGACATGGATTTCAAGGACCTGGGTGACCAAGTCCCCTCAAGGAGAATCGGAGGCAGGTTGGGAGCTCAGAGCCACGTGTGCTGGGGAATCTGCTTGGGCCACCGTCCAGCCCACTGTAGGCTCGTTGGAATTTGAACCAAAACCGCAAGAAGATGCGGCTCCTCAGAGAAGCAGAGATGTTGAAAGTGGGAGGACTTTGGTCTGTTCTTATCAATGGCACTTCAGGCCTGGCGAGGCAATAAAACACGAATGCACCTGCTGACACCGGCCAGGCCTCAGTCCTGGGGCCCCTGGGGCTGAGCTCAAGGTCACTGCCCAGGGTGGTCCTGGCGCTGAGGAGCCACACCAGGCCACAGGCCCCGGGCACCCTGACTGCAGTGACGGAATGGACAGCACACCAGGGCTCGGGCCCCAACAGGCTCCCAGGAAGAGGGACAAAGGCCCAGCTGTGACCGGCCGGACCACTCGCCAGTTTTGGGAGACCAGCCCAAACCACGGCAGAAATGTAAAGAGTAGACCACACTTGGAAGAAGACGCTCTTAAAAACCGTCAAAGCTATACATTTGTGTTGTCATTGTTACAGGCCGGCGTGGAACACCGTGCTTTAAAATAGCCCAGCTGATCAGAAAATATGTCAGCAGCCTCCTCATACGAAGCCACATAGATGCTCCCAGGGTCACCACCACGGCAGAGTGACATCTGATGACACAGAACTTCCCCTTTCCCTGCACAGCAGCCGCCACGCAGCCACACCTGCCGGGCAGCCCGGCTCCCAGGCTGCTGCAAAGCTCCCCCGGCCTGGCTGTGGAGATGCGTTCTGGGGAGAACAGTGCCTGTGGGACGGGCTTCCAAGGGTTAAAGGGAAATGCGTCACCGAGGGTGTGACGGCCCGTCCACCAGCTGTCGGTCCGCGAGGAGCAGCCTCACCCGAGGATGGACAGAGGCAGCCAGGGCTCAGCGCCTTCTGCGAGCACCTTTCTGCTGGTCCCACAGTCACCGGGCACCTTTGGGACCCGCAGGCGCCTGGAACCCGGGTGAGCGGCAGGGCGGTGGCCTTTCCCCGGAGCTTCTCCACGCCGCAGCCTGCCCTGCGCACCAGGGGCAGGTATGGGGCCAGTGCCAACCACAGCCGGGGACTGGTTGTTTCGGTGCTTCCTGAGACGTTGTGTCAAAGCGTTAAAGGACAACGGGTCACACGGACTCAGTCACCATACTGTCCCTGGCCCTAAGAAGGAGGGAGGGAGGGAGAGAGAGAGAAGGTTCTGGGGTCTCTTCTTACGGTGTCACCGCTCCCACTGGCCTGCTGTGTCAGGGCCCCACCTTGGTGGCCTCACTGAACCTGACTGTCCCCAAACTCATCCCATCGGGACCTCCTAGAGATTGGGGGACACTTGCCAACCAGCACGCACGTTTATAGCTTGTGAAGAATAATCAGAGATTAAAAGCTATGTAAAGCGAACTTAAGGGGCTATACCTCTGACATTGCAGGTGGCAGCTGGGAGAGTGTGGGTCCTGAGGGTGCCAGCTGTGACCATAGCTCTGAGACCTGTCAGCGGTGGCCTCGACCTGACACCTTCGGGTCAGCCCATGTCTCCTGGGTGGCGGGGCTGGAGGATTAATTGACAAGGCATGTGCCAGAGGTCCCAGCAGCCTCTCCTGAGTTCGTATTGATTTCCTCCTTCAAAGCACGAAAGAAGAAACAATGAAATTAAATTTTCATGGGAAGAGAAACAATTCAGAATAGACCATGTTAAACACCACCTGAGCGACCCCTTCCCTAACCGGTGTTGACGGCCACGGGGCTCCAGCTACTCTGCAGGGAGCCAGGTGGGTGGGGACAGGCTCTGCCTGCAGGATGTCACAGTCTAGAAGGACAGGAGGTCAAGATGAAATGCAAATCGACTACCACAGTAGTCCATAGGATCGAATGACAAATTCGGTCCTGTTTTCCCTTTTGTTTAGAAGATACCAGTTTATTTACCGTCGGGAAGACCGTGTCACTGCTAACACCGCGCAGAGGACAGACGGGGTAGTACCAGTGAGTTCAGGGCCAGGGGTCTGCAAGGCTGGGCCTTCCACATACTAGGAAGCAAACGGGCGGGAAAAGCAGACCAAGTGGCGCAGGGGTGGGAGCTCGCAGGGACGGGCGATCCCTGCTCAGTGCCGGTTAGAATGTCATCCCTGAGCAGACGGCTGTTTTCCCAAGTCCGAGCTACCCGCTACTGCGCACAGCCGTGCGCACGGGCGGCCCCCTCTGCCGCTGGAGCAACCTCCAAGTGCGCCAAACCTACGCTACCTACCGGGAGCCAAGGGCAATCAGCGTCTTGGGAGCTTCTGCGGGACGAGCCACATGGTTTCTGAGCTCCGCAATGCTCGCGCTTGGGGGTGGATTTACGGCCTCGCACCGGAGGTCTCCAGCAGAACCGAACTGTGCCCGGAGCGAAGAGGCGGACCCGCGGCGCAGGAGGCGTGGCCGGCGAGGAGCGTGCGCAGAACGCGGAGCAGGCCGTAGGTCTCCACGTGGTCAACAATGGGTGAGGTTTGATAGGAAGAACGCAGATCGTGTATTTTAAGACCATTGTAACTGGATCGATTATAAGCTGTTAGTGACTCTGAGCGCATACGCTCGTGGCATAACCTTACCGGGCGCGGGATTGCTGTCACCGGGAGAAGTGCAAGCTGTGGACGTTCTCGAAGTGTGGAGTGGGCCGGCCGCGCTGCACTAACTCAATTCGGATGCTTGTAACAGCGGTGGGACCAGAGGAACTTACCAATCGGCTGACCGCCCTTTCCCGTTTCTGTGTTTTCAGCGAGGACGCACTTCTTCAGTTAAAAAGGTCAGTCCATGTATGATCTGGAAGATACGTTAAATTAGTAAGAAGGACATTGGAAATTGAATTTAACTTGCAACCTCACTTGGAATATTTTTATCAATTTTTAAAAACAATGAAAAGCATCCGTAAAAGTACACGCAGTTTTATGGTCTCCATGAGCCACCAAAACGGCTCTGTGCTCGGGCGTTAGATGCAGCACCTAAGGAAAACTTAAGAAACAGAATCTAAAATGAAGAGAAATAGTATTAGCCCCATCTCACTCCGCATTGAAGACTGTTTGACATTTAAAATATGACCCCTCTTTTCAAATTATAAACGTAACTAACGAATACGTATTATTGAGAATTTGGAGAAGCAGTGTGTTAACCCAAAACAACACCGCCTGTTCCCTCCGCCAACTCGGGAGAAAAGCCACGTTCAACCCTCGGTGGACTTCGCCCTTTCTCTGGGCACTGGCGCTGGGTCGGTGCGGCGAAGGGGCGTTCCCGGTGGAGTGAGGACGCTCCAGTCGGCGGGCGGAACTTCTACAGAATGCGGAGGCAAGCGACGTAGACGCAGGTTGCTGGGTCATCCTGTCACCAACCAGGCTTCGGGCTTCCTTCCTTCCTTCCTTTAACTTTGTCATAAGTATCTTCTAAGGTCAATAAGCATTTTTCGAAATCATTTGTGTGAAGGGCTGTATATTTTTTCTATCACATGGGGCGAAACCCACAGTTAATTTCTCCCTTCTGTTCTTGAGCATTTGGAACCCACCAATTTGTGGCTATTATAGCGCTGCCACTATGTCCCTGGGTCCGCCACCCCCGCGTGGATTTCTGATTTCTCCGAAGAGTCACAGACCTGGAGTAAGCTGGGGACAGCACTCGAGGTCCTTCAGCCTGTTGGTAGAAGTTGCCCAAAGTTGTTCTGGAGAAGGTGTATAGATTTACATTCCCTCCCTCTGCATTTCGGAGCACCCAGCTTGGTCAAGCCTTAACCAAAAAGACCTTTATCGAGACAAAAGAAAACACACATGACTTGTCAATGACCACCTGCGTTCTGGGTTTTGGGGGTACATTTTTTGAATTCCAGTAGTATTGATGTTTCTTTTCTATCTTTTAATGATTTTCAGCTAATGCGCTTTCTCCAGTTTTTCTCATGATGGTCATCTTTGTGAGCCGGATGTTTTGACATCTAGAGGTCTTATATTTTTAAGTATAAAACCTATTACTGTTTTGTTCATGGGTCTATCTTTGCATTTTTGTGTTAAAAGGGTGGCCTTTCTCCATCAAAAGTTCACCTAAATACCCACAGACATTTTTTGTTTTATATCTGACTCCTTATAGTTAAATGTAAATATAATATATTATTATGTATGATAATTACATATGCAGTTATAATTTAATTATGTATAATGCATAGTTATTATGTAATATGCTTGTGAACTGTAATCTTTTCATAGTTATTAATAACATGATGTTATCTCCGAGACATTCTTTAAATAACTGCTGTGATTTGAGTCGTGAAACAGTGAAGTTTGGTGTTCGGTTTGGGGAGGAGCCTGGCCTAGGACTCAGGTTCGCGTCATGTCCCCAGCGCTGGCCTCCTGAAGGTTAAGGGCACACAAACACTTTGCAACCCCAATGTTTCTTTCAAAGGTCTCTTCTTGTTGAGCTGTGTGCCAGGCCTCAGCGGGGTTGGGAGAGTCGGGGGTGGGGTAGATTCCGAGTGTCGGATCCACAGCCATGCAGACCGTTCCACAGAGCGGCGTCTGGTGTGACCGGGACTCCTCAAGGCAGGCAGCAGTGACAAGGCTCTGCCCTTACACGTTGACCTTCCCCAGAAGATGCTCACTGGCGAGGTACTGCTCGGGACCCTGCTGTCGAGACAGGCGTCAGCTGCCCCCTCCCAGTGTCCGGGAGCGTGAGAGCACAGTGAGACGGGGGTGTGGTGGGGTGGTTACCTGAGCCGGTCCCCACCCCCCCAAGGAAGACGAGGGTTTTCTCTCTCTCCTTGGGTGCCCTCCAGGTTACAGACTGATGGGTGAGCTTTCCTGGGACCCTGCAGGGCTGTCCCTTCCACAAGCCAGCAACACCATGACCCGTAGGGGAGCTGGGATGCTAGCTGACTGGAATTATTTGTTTGGGAATTAAACTTAAATTAATATTTTTAAATGTTTGTAGACGAAGCATTGAAAACATGGACTAGAATAATTTCAAACCTCGCAGGTTGGAGGAAGGTCCTGGCCCAGCCCTGTGCTGTGCATGGCAGCCCATGAGGAGGGGAACCCCAAGTCGCAGCGCGAACCCCTCTGATTCTCAGGATACCGCTCGAAAGGGGAGGGCAGGGGGAAAGCAGCAGAGCGGCAGCGGCTCCTTTACAGACGATTAGACGCACGGAATTCCTGGCTCGGGGCTGGTTTGAAAATGGTCTCCACCTCCATGAGGCGGAGCCACTAAAGAAGCTGAATTCCATTGTCGGATTTTATGTGCCACCCCCCCCCCCACAGGCTCTCGCTGGATTTAACTCTTATTTCCCATCAAACTATTTTAACGTGGCCAGTTTGATTTTCAAAATCAGAAAGCTCTCCTTTCCAATCCAGCACTCACATTAGAAAACACATTCATGTCTGAACTGTTACATTCATCTTCCTTCCTTCCTCTTTCTTCCTTTCTCTTTCTCCCTTCTTCCTTCCTTGCCTTGCCTTTCCTTTCCCTTTCTCTTTCTCTGTCTTTTCTTTACTTTTTTCCTTTCTTTCCTTATCCCTTTCAGGGGAAAAGACCTCACGGTTGCAGAGTTTCTCACGGGGAAGCGCCCTCGCTAACTCATGACATCAGAGTTACATCCACAGACTCACCAGCTCGCATACATTTCCTCAAAATACAGCTCCTGCCAGCGATGGGGACACTTCAAGGTGCTGTCAAAGGAAACGCACTGTAGAGATTTCAGCATCGCATTTCTTTTAGAAGGGCAGGAAATTCCCTGTTGTGTGAAAACAGGTAGAATTCTGTTCAGTGGAGTGGCTTTGATTTGATTTGAAACAGATCCTTTTGAATTTACAAAATATGTCCAAAACTGACATTTTTGAAAGACCGGTTTTCCTTTTCCCTCCAGGTAAAGATGGCCCTGGGCCTTGGACAGAGAATAATTAGGGAGTTAATTTATGCTTCACTTCCGTGCTAGGCACCTAATGTCCGGGTGGGAGGGCCACCGAGAAGCATTCAGATTCCACACTGCAATTAGTCTGAAAGAACTGCACACTCACCTCGTGTTGGTGTATTCTCAAATAAGAATATCCATTCGTATCTGCAAGGGCTATTAGAATATTTCTGCATACCTGGACTCACCTAAAGCCACGCATGTATCACCACAAAGACGGAAGGCAGAAGTGCGTACAGGTCCGACTGTTTCCCTTGGAGCCGACATCAAAGACATTTGCAAGCACCTTGCACTTTGGTACTTTACTCAACATGTTGTCTTGCTTTGTTTTGGGAAGCACGGTAATTTCTCATAAAGGTATGTAACTTATGTTAATATGAAATGGGCTCATTCTGGTTATTTCTGAAGCGATTAATAACTGTTTTGAAAAGCCTGTTTTAATTTCCCACACAAAGGTATGGACAGACACGACCCCCGCAAACCGAAGTTCTCTGGCTTCCTCAGGCCTCGGGAGGAGGGCACATGACCCACCCACCAGAGGACCTGCGCTCTCGGGCAGCAGAAGCCTCTGCAGGTTCCCGAGACATGCGGTGTGGAAGCACCTGGCGTGGAACAGTGTCGGGGGGAGGCTGGAACAGCGTGCTGAGAAAGGGCGATGGGAGGACGGGAGGGGAGACACGTTTTGGCGTTGGCCATGAGGGTGCAGGGAGCAGCGGGCCTGCCGAAGGGAAGACACAAGAGACCAGCCGCAGCTCATAGGCCAAAGGGCTGCGCGCACAGGGGGTGGTTTCCTGAAGTGGCAGGAAGTTCGCTCCCACTGGGTCCTCAGATCCAGGATGGAAGCACCGGCCCCTCCCCGAGCCTCCAGCCTGCACGCTTCTGCCTGTGGGTGTGGGGCCTGCGGCCCTGAGAGCACGTGGGCCGAGTCCCGTGAAGCCGTCCGCCCTGTCTGGGGAGCCTTGGCTCACACAGGGCCCGGTCCCAGAGGAAAGTCTGCGATGGTTTCAGGGTTGGGCAGGCCGTGGGAGGCTGTCTTGGAGGAGAGATCACAGCGGGACCGAAAGTGGCACCGCACCTTCTGCTGCAAGGGAGGTGCCAGCAGGGCGTCACCCATGAGGGGACAGGAGGCGCAGGCTGTGCAGCCCGGACCACGTTTCCATATGAAGGTGTGGGAGGCACCGCCACAGCGCAGCCGCTCACAGTGGGGGCTTGTTGTCAGACTCTGAACCTCAGCCCCGGGGTGGCCGGGGTGGGCCTGGGAGGCGGGACCAGGCAAAAGTGGCGAGTGCAGAGACTCCTGCCAGAGGGCAGCGGGGAGGACAGGTGAGCCCCCGGGAGGCCACCGGGCTGAGGGGGCAGGTGCGTGCAGGATGGAGGCTGACCTTTGTCACTAAAAGGGTGACCAGTTCTCTATTCTGAATCGTTCTTTCCGTTGCATCCAGCCAGCCAGTGCCTCTGTTGAACGTGTCTTCCTGCGGCCTCCCCGAGTCTAGGGGCCTGCGAGGGTCTGACCTCTTTCTAAGAGCTGCAGGTCCCCGAGGGCTCCGCCGAGGTGGGGTGCACAGGGCCGGGGGTGAGAGGCCGGCTGCCCCTTTCCTTCCATGTGCTCGTTTGTCAGCAGTTCCTTTAAGTGCAGCGCCTCCTCGTTCTCAGACCCCCCTGCACACTGGGCCTCCACGGAGGGCAGCAGAAAGGGAGGCCATGCGGTGATGCGGTACAGAGTGAAGTCCGACCACCTGGACCCGTGTGGCCTCGCTCCAGCTCCGTGGTCCCGAGAGACCACGCGCGTTACCTCGGGTCATGTCTCAGTCAGTGAGGTGGGGCCCCAGCACCCAGGCACTCGAGTGTGGGTGTGACCACGGTCAGGCGTGGGTGTCACACAGATGGCAGGCTTTGCTGTGGGAAAGTCGGGAGGAGGCAGGCATGTGTGTCATGCTTGAAGTGACCCAAGCAGAAGCCTGGAGGAGGTGGGGAGGAGGGGGCGGGGGTGTGGGGACAGGGAGGAGACGTGAAGAGTCAGGCATCACCCGTGTGCTGGGACAAGATGGTGCAGCCAGTCTAGAACCAGACGGACGAGTTGGGGACTTGGTGTGGCCAGTAATTACCAACCCGTACGTTCCTGAGCCCTGGAGAGACCTGACCCAGGGTGCCTGGCAGGGGTGTCTGGCTGTGACTTTGGGAGGGTAGAGACCCCGCCACAGGTGGGGTGCTGGGGGGTCGCTGCTGTACCTGGGCTTGGATGGTGGGGGCAGGGAGAGAGTGGGGGCGGGTGAGTCAGAAGTTAGAAGTTAGTGGGCCCAGGCTGCTGTCATGGTCCTGGGGCCAGCGGCGGGGCGGGGGGGGGGGGAGGGAAGGCAGGGTGACTGCACTGGTGTCGGTGTCGGAAACTCCCGCCTGTCTGCCGTGCACAGCACCGCCGAGAACACAGGTCACGCGGCCTGGGAGCTCAGAGGGCGGGAAGGACCACCCTGTGGAAGGAACCGGCCCTGCATTTCAGACGCAGCTGGCAGCAAGGCCGGGGGGCTGCACCGATGCTGTTTGGCAGAGCCGGGGACAGTCCTGGGACGTCTGCGTGGCCACCCTGATGCAGGAACTCCTCCGCACTGAGGCCAGGGCCCCCACCCGCCCGTGCCTGGCCACAAGGCCTTCCAGGCCGTGGCCCCAGGCTTTACCGACTGACCGGCACCTGAGGCAAAGCCGTGGGGACAGGGCAGCATGAGGGTGAGCCCCATGGGCCTGGTCCATGGCGGAGAGAAGCCAGCGGGTGCCGTCTGTCTGAGGTTTCTGAGAAGCAGACTCCTGCCAGATCTGACATAAATCAGTCATTCCAGGGGGTGAGCAGGGCCAGGCCACAGCTGGGGACCTGGTTCACGGGCATCCGTGTGGCGTCGATACATTTTGGGTTTTGACTGGAAGCTAATTTTTGCCCATTCCACTTCCCCCAGAAACACTCTCCTCTTCCCTGAGCTGCCAGCACCAGTGCCCATGGGAACTTGACCCCTCCCTCCTCCTCCTCCTCTTTCTCCTCAGGTCAGATCCTCAGGGTCATTGCCAGTGGAACCCCAGAGCCGGGGTGTGCTTGGCCAGACATCTGGGACTCACGGGCCTGGGCTGAGGGATGGTCACTGACGGGACAGCCGATGACGCCCTCAGGTCCATGGGGTCTGCAGAGCAGCAGTGGTGGGCACTGTCCTGGTGGCCGGGGGCGTGGAGGTCTGACGTCGCTCCCGGAGCCCGGTCTCCAGGCCTGGAACGCTCTCTAAGGCGGGTCAACACCCCGCCCACCCCACACCCGCCTTCAAGGACTCCCGCTGGTTCCAACCACGCACCCACTGCTATGAAGCGTTCCTTCCGCTTTAGAAAATTCCAGTCTTTGTGTTTCTCAAAAAAGACTTTCCAGCGTAAACAAAACGATCTCCTTCTCTATTCCTGGGCCAAGCAGGGTACTAAGTACTTGGGGAAAGAGAAGCAGCTCAGCTACCACACGTCTAAATATTTAGAGTCGGAGAAACAGCCACGGATTCCAGAGCAGTGAGGTGGCCGCGCTCACCAATCGCCCGGCAGCAGCGGTCGGCGGGTCGCACCGGGCGCTGACCCCGGCCTCCCTAACTAGCCCTCCACGTGCCCTCCTCCGTTCAGAAGACAGAAAGCTGGTCATGTGGAAGCCGCCAGGGAAGCAGAAACAGAGCATTTATTAAAAAAACACTTCAATTGGATTCTCAGCCCTTCGGTTGGAAGAAAGTGGACTGAATTGGGGTCCTTAAAGGACAAATCAAAGAATTGAAATAACCAAAGGAGCGAGATGGGTGGGAAAGCAAATGGGAAAGCCAGGGAGGGCGAGGCGTGCGGGAGAGAGTGCTCCCCGTCAGGACGGGTGAGATGAGTACAGGGAGGACGAGTGTCCGGGGTGCCGTCACCATCCAGAGCACCGGGCCGGCGGTCAGAGAGGCCCAGCAGCGCCATGCGGCCTCCTGTGCCACCCAGGACTGGGACAGCACCTGCCCACACGCTGCCACCCTGCTGCCCCAGGCCCAGCGTGTCTGGGGAGTGGCCCCATATCCCGTGTGCCTGTGGTTCTTGGCGGCCAGGCCGGCAGGGTGGAGGGGCGGCCGCTCAACGCCTCTGGAGGGGTCTTCAGGATGCGCAGGCCCACCCGCACTTCAAATATCTCCGCTCTGAACGAGCCGGGTCGCTGGCCCCACGGGGGCCCTGCGGCGGCCCTGCTTCTGCCCTCACTGGCCCTCCAGTGGGTCCTGCTCTGCCCCTGCACCAGACCACCCCTGCCTGGCCGAGGGCGGGCCTGTGGCAAGGTCGCCCTCCTTCCTTCAGAGACCCCCTTTCCCTCACCCCTGGGCCTTGCCAACCAGCCCATAGCTGTTGCTGCCTCTCTCTCAGAAAAGCAAACCCCAGGTCCCGCTGGCCCAGGTCCTGCCCTGCCTGCACCGCACTTCCTGGTGAGCTGTTTGTGCCTGAGGACACGCCCTCTCCTGCTGGCGACTGTCCCTCCAAGCTGGCCCACTCCCCCTTGCCTGCTCTGCCCGGGTCACCTCCATGTTGACTGACCCAGTGCTTGCTTCTCCACCCTTTCTTTAACTTGACCCCGCTTGCCGCCCTTCCTGCAGGGCCTCTAGATTCCCAACCCCTTTGTCACAGGTTCCTCCTTCCCAGTCTCCCTTCCGGGTCCTTCTGCCCCCCTGAAACTGGCTCGTGAAGCCTGGCCCTGACCCTCTCCTCCGCGCCTGTCTCCTCTCTCACTGTGTCAGCGACTCACACTCTAAGCTCCAGTGCGTCCCCCTCTCCAGACCCCTGGGCCCCTGCTTAGGTGCTACGGCGACGTCTCAGAACGCCAGGTCAGCTGAAACCCTGCCCCCCACACTCCGCACACTCGGTCTTCCCTGCGTGCACTCGGCAGCGCCTGCAGGCCACCCCCGGGCGCCCTCGGCTGCGTTCTCTCACCCCAGGTCCCATCCACCAGCCAATGATGGACTCAGCTCTACGTTCAAGGTCCACCAAGAACCCAGTCACTTGCAGGCTACTTGAATGGGCTATTAAATTTAATCTTGCGCCCCCTCAGCCATCTCCTTAACTTTACAGAGGAAGAGAGAGGTCGAGGAAGTAGGGGAGGGAGGGCCACCGGAGCCTGCGTTCCCCGCCTGCCTCCTGCTGCCTTTATGTGGGTCACACACAGTGACGGGGAATTGCTTTGCCGAGTGAAGTGTCCCCAGTGGGGGCCTCTGAGTGGTCTGTGCAGGAGTCTGGTGGGGGAGCCCCAGGACCACACACCCATGTGGCTCTCTCCCCATGGAAGGCCGGGTGACTCCAGAGAGACACCGGCAGCTGAGGCCATCTGAGCCAGGTGCTCTGTTTCCTGGAGGGGTTTTGCGCACCCAGTTCCAGGAGGCACCGCGCAGGGAGCTTCCAGAAGCGAATGTGGGGAGTCCTGCAGGTATGGCCAGGGCTCCTCAGGGTGTCTGCCCTGTGTCGCTCATTCATGGGGTATGCAATCCAGCAAT